GAAGGATGTGAAAGAAGCGTTTCATGATCGTATAGTAAACTAAGATTTTTATCTTTATCTAAACAAACATTTTCACTTCAACTGCTACGACTTCACATTGATATGCTACACCGATAAACCGTAGTCGAGCATTAGCTACGATCACGTTTGTGTAGCACAATCTGAGCGTAGCACAAAAAGACCAAGCACGAATTTTGACAGCGTAATCGTATCGCATTGTCAAAGTTTCTATAAATACTAAGCAGTAGCCAGCGACCCTACTGGAAGCAGATGCAAACCGGATACTTCCATACAAATTTGATGATTACGATACGATTACGGATCTGTCAAAAGTCGTGCTTGGGCCTTAATCTGCTCGAGCTTCTTGAACAAGGTATCTTAATGCCGACACCTTACCTGGCTATTCGTGTTTGCTATTTGTGAACTTGACATCAGTCTTTCCTTTTCATTCTTTATAAAGCATGATAAAAACAGACTGTAGTCGAGTTTACAATAAGCAAAAATACGAATACACAAGTGAAGTGCCGGCATTTAAGATAACAGTCAACATGATGTTGATTGACTGTTTGCGCAGTATTCAAATTTATTAGTTTTATTCAATATTATCATCATCATCATCATCAGCCTATTAATGTCCCCACTACGGGGGCATAGGCATTCCCTATGGATGGAATAAGGAGACTGGGCCATGACCCACCACGCAGGCACAGTGCGGATTGGCGAGTGCTAAAGACTACAGATGCAGCCGGGACTAACGGCTTAACGTGTCTTCCAAAGCACGAAATAATTCGAGATAGAATATTTTTGGTCACGCATCCAATGAATGATCATTGCGAAAGTTGCTTAACTTCAACTATCGCAGCCGAACGTGCTAACCGCCTGCGCCATCGAGTTCCTCAATATTACAGTGAAAGCATAGTAAATAATCTCAATAATACAAATAAATAATCAATCTGATATAAAAGGATGGACCCATTGTTCTCTTTAAGAACCTCTTCTTTTTCCAAAACTTCACGTTAATTACAATACAATGGATACCTCAGAATTTTACTTCCAAAGAAGTGTCTCGCTAAATTTTCCGGGGATAAATGTTCGCACACTGTGTGTGTTGAGTCCGTGACTAGTCCTTGCGAACAATGTTTTCATTATACGCAGAGTAAAGTCCTCTGCGAACAGAAGTCAGTCGTCTGCGCTAGCCACAAATGGGGGTGGTGTAAGCTAAGTATTTTCATTTCCGACTTTTCTCATACAAACATTTCATTCAACGAAGGGGTTTAAATTGAAAAACCCGGACAAGTGCGAGTCGGACTCGCGCACCGAGGGTTCCGTACAAACTCAATTTCAATAGAAAAGAGGAAGTAACTTTAAAGTTTTCAAAAACATTTTTTATTATATGTAACTAAAAATTACATACAGTTTTCGCAATTTTTCATTTATCTGTACTATGAGACGTTACTTCGTACCAAATTTCAAGATTCTAAGTTCACAGGAAGTACCCTATAGGATTTGATTCCCGTGCGAGTTTCAAAAATTTGCGGCATAAACGGCTGTATCTTTTGATTGCTTTGGCTTAGAAGTTTGATTTTTTCACAGCTCTAAGGAACAGTAGACATTAGTATTAGATATGAATTTCAGTTTGATACCTCAACGAGTTCCTGAGTTCTTGATAGACGGACGGACTGACAACAAAGTGATCCTATAAGGGTTCCGTTTTTTCCTTTTGAGGTACGGAACCCTTAAAACGAAAATTTTATTTCTCAAGTGTATTTTTAGGGTTCCTTACTCAAGGGGTAAAAACGGAACCCTATGAACTTATCATTCACTCTGTCGTCTTTCTGTCTGTCTGTCCGTATGTCACAGATCTCTAGATCGTAAACGGAATTAGTTACATAACTGAAACTTTGATTATTTTTTATTTTCGATAACAAAGAAATGGCATACAGTCAAAGTTGTAATTTTTATATCATTTTTGTAACAATCTATCTCAAAATAGAAACTAGTTAAGAATATGAAATTTTGGTGGATGATATCGCGCATATGCTGTATTTAAACATCAAATACTGAAAACGCCGATTTATAATGTACTTTGTAAGTAATAGACTCACGCCTAGCTAGTTTTGCATAGTACCATACTTTTTTAACAACATAAGTATTCATTTGTCATTGTGGGTTACCTACAATGCGAAGAATGGCTGGAAGAATTTCGACGCGGCCATCAGGGCCGCGGTATCATAATTGGTCAATGCATTAGCCGGGATGGCGAAGGGTGCGGGCGCGAGTCCCGTCTGCTGCCTGGTCCGCGTGGATTTTTTTCTAGTTATATTTTCTTTAGATTTAAACATCAAGCAGTTACATGATTAAAAAATAAATAAAAAAAATATAAACATAAGTACCTCTTCCGTGAAGCTTATATATCTTTATTTTCCTTTTCCCTTTTGCGCAGCGTTCATACATTTTGTATGTGATACGAATGAATATCTACTCCAGAGGGCACGTCACGTACTAAGTATGTACCGACTCCTTTCGAATTCATGTCGATCACACGTATCAATCACCTGTCATGCAAAATTACGTGTGCGATATACCTACACGCGATTAAAATACAATATCACATTTCGATCACTGATACAGAATGATTCTATTTATGATAAAATTCGGCTTTAAAATATCTTTACAGTTATGATTTTATTATGCTCGTCTTTGATGATTTGTGCAATAATTTTATTCAGGCTTTAACGTAACGTTTTTGTTTCTCTGCTGTTTCTTTCAGAAAGTTCCAAATAGTAAAAATGGTACCAACTTTGTTTTACATAAAAAAAAATTGACAGAAGATTTTTCCATTGAAAATAAGATAACTTTTCGATATAATATCCAAATTGGCAGTAAAAATAATACTATCTATAAATAAAATTAGAGCAGGTTGTTTTTGTGGGTTGTCGAAAGGTAAGTTTTTACCAAATTTGTGCATTTTTGTTGATTATAATAAATAAACAAATTTCTTTAAAAATAAACAAATACACCAACGGTAAATATTTTCTTTTCTTTTAATGTATTATTCTCTTATTTTTGAAATTTGTTTTATCCTGTTATGATTTTTTTCACTATTCTTACTTTTTTTACCATTTTCAAAGGACTCCCCGGCCTAATTGTGCTTGTTCGATATTCAGGGGGAGCATTTTATACTTTTTTAGCAAGCTATAAAACACAAATGCAAAGCTTTTTAATTACTTTCGTATGAGTGGATCCACATTCGATTATTTGATAAACCATTTAAGCAACAAAATCAAGGAAGAAGGCACATCGAATGGCTAAATAGCCTAAAGAAATGCACGCAGAGACAATGTAGATACACGTATAGCATACATAAAAACATTACCACAAGACAGCAACTCATTGGCGTCCGATGGTGCCACCAAAATGCCGGTGTTCGCTCCGATATCGGATCGGACAATGTGGTAACTCGGATAATTTGGGATGAATTTTGAAGTCATTTTAACACATTAACAATACATATATTTTTATGTAATCTGTACCTACGCATAATGGTTAAAACTGATTTTTGTAACGAATAATCAGATTTCCTTGTTTTATAATCAAATAATGTAAGCTATTCCAACTTACCGACTTATATATTTGAAACATATCGATGGCAGGCAATCTCGTTATTCGACTGATGGTTAGGGTAACAAAATAAAAACAAATATTTGTTCAGTATTGTTGTTCAAATAGTAACATATTTGTCAATGCTTGCCAATTAAATAATCTGTGCATTGCTGTGAAGCGGCTCGTAAATTTCAATATTTGGCCGTGTTTTACTCATATTACAGTTTTGGCGTAAACCTACCTAGCAAATAAATGTAGAACCGTGAAAGTGAAATATTTGTTTGATATTAATCAGCTTCTACACAGCTGGGTGAAAATTAAATCTGACACGCGTGAGTTATTTGTATGTCTGAAAATACATATTTAATGAAACACCCTCTAATTGGATTTTAGTTTTGTTAATTAATTATAAGCGTATTTACTCTAGTCTCGTGCTAAAATTGGAGTTAAAATAAATATATAAATAGCGCTTGTATAGGACATGCGCTATTTGCTTAATTTTGAAAAGCTTACCTATTACCAGAAAGTTTCGTATGAAAATCCATTATTTTTTTAATAAACCGTACCTACATATATACTACACTAATAAAGTTTATAAGCGAGTTTGTCATCGCTTCACTTTTTTCTATCTTGCGCGAACAATTTTCTCTTTCTACTTGCGTCGATTATACTAAGAATGAGGCATAGTGCTAATGAAGTTGCTTGTTCACGTGATTCTCATTCGCATGAACCCGCGATCAAACAATATGAGTTCATATTGTTATTGCGTGATCAGCGTCAACTTTGCTGATTCTATATTCTTAACAATCAGTGTGCTAATTGACATTAAGTCACATTGTAATAGGATTCTCATGGCCGTTAGTATACATTAAATTAATTCCGAATAACAATAGAAGAGAGATGTCAAGTCACTTTGTTAAGAATTAAATTTGACAAAAAGAGTAATTGTAAGCATAAAAATTCTACATTAAATTGTGTTTGATCGCAGATTCCTGTGAATAAAATCCGCCGAAATTGCGATGAACGCATTTTATTATAACGACTCGTCGTCGTGAGTTATCTGAGACCTAAGCGCGAATTTTGACAGCTCAATAATCGTTTCACATCGTCAAAGTTTCGATGAAAACTAAGCAGCGCCCCTAGAGGAGGTAAGAAAAAACTGGCGGATACATGAATTTTGACAGTTACTTACGGATCTGTCAAAATTCGTGGTTGGGCTACTGTACTACTATCTCGTTCGTGGACTACATTTGTTGTATCTTTTTCTCCGTCTACGTTTCTATGAAAATATTAGGTTAATTTATATTTTATACAAACCTTACCGTGCTTACTTTAAGGCTAGATTAATAAATTGGTGTGAATGTAAAATATATTAATTGATTTATTTTATTGTTAACAGCCAAGTTGGACGGCGTAAAGACATATATGCGCATGCGGCGAGTGCCGACTCATCTGCAGGTGAAGGTGATCAAGTGGTTCGACTACCTGTGGCTGACGCAGAAGTGCTCCGACGAGGAGAAGGCCGTCTCCTGTCTGCCTGACAAGCTTAAAGCGGAGATCGCCATCAATGTCCACCTGGATACACTGAAAAGGTAAGAGTATTTACTTCTTCTTCTTTCCAACAGCCGTTTCTGCAACTCAACATACTCACGGCCTGTATTGCGTGTGCAGAGTGTGTTGCTGGAGTAAATCTTGCCGTGCCAGCTCCGTCAAGAACGCCGCTTTTAAACACTTACTGAGGCTTGGGCCACTGTATGTAACAGAGACATGCTAGAAGCTACATTTGACCTATCTATTTAAGCGTGTCGTTTGCAGCGTGATCAATTGTAACGGAGGACCGTAGTAGGTTGTACCGTAGTAGGTTTTTAGATTTTATTTATAGCATTTAACTGCTAGATATTTAAATATAAAAAAACTAGATACTAGTTCTACTTATAGTGATAAATTACCCATGAGTAGAAATAAACTAGTTTACCGCCTAAGCCTTGTTCGTTCTTTTATAAGTGTTAAGTGGGCAAACAATATTTAGAGAGTCGTTAAGTATTTGATGCAACTCTAAAAAGTTCATAATATACCATTACAATGTACTTATAATGTCAGTGCCTCTTGTGAAGACTTTTATATTTGTGAAATTGTCAATACTTTAGCAAAAATCAAACATTATGTTAAGCTACTTCAGACACAGTTTATTTTGTGACAGCATTCATTTAGAAGACAACAAATTCTCTATATAAACAAAATTCGTGACTGGTAGCGAACATTAAGCAGGGTCGAGTTGTCACCCAGGGTTAAACCCTAAACGCAATTTATCCTTTAATAAGAACGGACAATCGCCACTCCGGTCGTCGCCCCCGGTACGAGCAGCGAGCTATTTGCTTATTGTGCAAGAAACGAGTGGAATCTTAGCGTTTCTTACATTCATGACCGCCGCTTTGTGTTTGTGTCACATTGCTTTTGTAATAAAAATACATAAGGAAAAAACTATTGTGGAAAACGTATGCGTTATATTGCTTATTAAGCCGAATGAGAACGTTATAACAAAGAAATCGTATTAGAGTTTAGCAATAAAATTTGGAATGCACTAGCTACTAACTTTAAATCTACGATCTATGCGACCTCCATGGCGTGACGTGGTACGTGTGTCATAGGATGATTTGATAAAATGATGATTTCGCATAAATTCTATTTTTTTAGTAAGATAAAAAAAGGTCATTGCCATTGTCTAATTATCCGCGTTTTCGCAAAGCTCTAGCATTTTCCGGAAAATTTGATTAAACGAATCATCCTACGACATATACGCTAAGTTTCAAGGTGTCGCCCACTCAGAGGTCCTGGATTCGAATCCTGGTGGGGTAAAAAGTAATGGATGTTTTACATATAATAGATCCGTAGCCCTAGTATCTCATTACATAAGTGCTCACTTTGGAGCTAGGCTAAATTGGTATCAGTGTTAGAAATATTTATATTTCAGTAACATAAAGTAGGAAATTTAACCCTCTTCTATAATATGGTAAGCTCGTAATATTCATTATTTTGTTGAAAAAGTGGTAAACAAGCATATGGCCCGCCTGGTGGTAAGCGACCACTAAAAGCGTTTATGGTCTCGCATTTTAAGTTGAATTACGGTAAAAATTACATTTTAATAATAATTGTTTTTTTTTTTATTTGTACCTCAGCGCTTAATGTCCTTGTCCCAAAATGTTTTTTTCTATAAAACTCCTTGAAATTCTCGGATCACGGGTAATAAAACACCATTTACTCGTTTGAAGTTACGTACGAGCCAGAATCTCAGCACGTTAGGACATTATTCAAATAAAATTTGAGTGTTACCTACTTGAAGTTATCTCAGAAGCATAGTGCAACGACTCTGTAACAAGGAGTGCGCAATAAACTACTGCTTCAGAAAGGGTCATGATCTCTTTATTAGCACTCCACTATAGCATATGAGATGAGGCACCATGCAATATGAAGTTTCTCTCTTTGAGAAGGTACAGTTCACTCTTCTTTATATTAGTGTTCTTGCTTCCATACTGGTATTCGAAAATAGCACAAGAAAAATATATAACAGAATAAATATATGTGCGTTTAAAAAGAGATTAGATTGCCTTTTTCAAATAAGCTGCATTTATTATTGAATATGCCTTTACCAGTTTGCTTTTTAAGGAGTAAATAATAACATGATTTAAAGTTTCATGCAATATGCTCAATAGGAAAACGAAATAGGAATCGACCGAGACACAAAACAATGAAGCAGCATATTATATTTTGAAACTTTTATCAATTATTTTATATCAAAGATATTTTTTATTAATTTTTAACTAGGTATGTGAAATTGGTAGATGTAGGTATATACGACTCCATTAACAATGCTCAAATACTTCATTAAACATGCAAATGCTTTTGAAATTGACATTTCGACTCCCAAGTTATTATTCGGAATTTGGAAACAATGACATAGATTAACTTGGGTACGGCAACAGGATTCTATTCCGAAACCGCCCATTTATTACCAGACAAAGATACTTATAACGCAATCAAATCTGTAGAACTTACTTATTTTCAGTAGCAGTAAAATGAATCAGGTATGAGAGGGACCGCTAATAGGTTCAAAGAAAGCATTTGCAGGCACTATTCTACAGCTTCTTTTATCGTTAGTCGCTAAACATCATAATAAAGTCGTCGCCTTGTTGGTGCGCGTCAAATTATACGACGACGTAGCACTGGAAGCTTAATACCCCGTGTTGTATAATTAAAAAGAGAAACATTCGCTGTTTACTCCCATGAATTATGCAAACGCATTTATTTATACGATCCGTAAATTTTTGTTGCCGGCGACCAACGACTGTTCGGAGGTTTTCTGTTTTTGCTGAATCGAGAGTGCGCGTATACGGGTAACATTAAAGCCGGAACGGCATCTAATATTTCTTTTGAACCTCTCAGTGATGTGACACCCGATGGGTTTAATTATTTTGTTGTTTTCACACATTAAATAAATAAACCTAGGTGTATAAGAATTAAAGTAGGGTTAAGTGGGGGACAGTGTAACAAGGGCTACAGTGTAACGGAAGGAATATTTCTCTATTATACGCGGCCATCTAAAATCTGCCATCTCCACAGACTCAGGGGGTATGGAACTAATAAAAACAGGTCAAAAAACGGTAGAGTTATTCCTTATGTTACATTGTCCCCCACTTGACCCTAATGAAAACGGCGAATGTACCTATATGTAAAGGTCATTCCTGCAGGCTATTTTTAGTTTACTGAAGATAAAGTGTACAGCACAGCGTACATAAGTTAGACTGGTTTTTTGAAGGATATAGTCTGTAAGTTGGCATTGATCATACAAAAGCATCAAATAACATAATAATGGCTCGATACTATTATTATTATAAGTAGGTATTGATATGAACAAAGAATTCAAAGACAAAAAAGAAAGAAACGAAAAAGCGCTTAATTTAGAAAACGTTACAGAAAAACGCTTAAAAGAAATTTACGCCGAAAAACCTAACTTAGCCGCATTTGTAAATTATATAAATCACTCTTGAAAATTGCAGACGTTTGTTCAATTCAAATCTGCCCAGTTATCTTCTCGATAATAATCAACTCGGAATATGAATGATTCATTATTAGCGTGATATAACTCATTTAGTCTACTTGACATTTAATTAACAAGAGAGTAAAGTATATCTTAATTCGGAGTTTTATTACTTACTAGTGGCCCACCCTCGCTTCGCTTCGGTGAAGAGCTATAGTGTAGACTAAAATGACTCTTCAAATAATTATAAAAAAGAACTAAAAATGGTATATTTGCCTTTTCCAAACTTCTATTGACATCACGTCACTCAATTGATTTGCTTTCCGGAACCTCTCCACTAACATTTGAAAGAAGATTGCTCAGCTTCCATACATGTTTGGCCTAAAGACCAATAATCATGAAAAATTGTTTCCTAGATTCGAAATTACATATAAATTACTGTAGAAACGAATATTATTGACGGACACCCCTGAGAACTTCTATAAACCATATACACTGAACATATTAAAATAATAGAAAACAAATAAGTTATATAGTAAACTAGGGAATTCAAGCCAAGTACCGAAATTATGAATTAGATTCAGATTTAAAGAGCATGTAGATTGACAGATAGTTGCCTGTTTTTAAAGTTAATGCATAAGAGTAACTTTTAAAATCAGGTGTCATTTCCGGTTATAATAAAGGTACTCTGTGACAGAAACTGTGTGATGATTGTGAATTAGCCACAGATTAGAGAGAATTTTTAAACTCTCGTTAACCAAAGAAAGCTAAGAGATTTAGGTTCTATAGCCATATATTCAGTAGCTTCATTATTTTTGTTATGTTTTTAAGATAACCATATTTTAGATTTTTAGTGTATCACACCTTATAATTTTATTAATTTATAGTCAGGGAACGCAGGCCCATAGATAGATACCTTAAAGTCTAACATATATACAGATTATAATGTGTTTATGGAGTTGTTTGGCGAAAAATATATGGCAATAGACTTTATGATGTCGCCTACCATCTATAATAATTATCTAAGCACATTTGCATCTAGTGAAAATGATAATATAGTTGTGGATATTAATACCACAGTGTAATAAAAAAATGGGTGCGTGTACTTATGTAGGCGCGTGAGAAGTTATCCTTCTTTGGCATCGTTTAAAATTAGTTTTTAATTGCATGCAAATAATTAATTACAATAAATTAATAAAAAGTCTGGAAAAGGACACAGTCAATAAAGTTCAGTTTTAATTTGAAAAAATAAATAAATAATCAAAATATTCAATTAAAATCGCTACTGAATATAATTTATTAGAACATATGTGATTTGCATTTGTATGAAACTCAAACACGTATTCCGAATATACAAACTAGAAACATGTGGATAAATATTATAAATATGAATACCTATAACTGCTACTTTATTACAAAAAATAAAGATGTGGTTTTTGGTTCTACTACACCAATGGTCAAGAGATGGCGCTGTAGTCTCCTGAATCGCGCTTTGGTTTCGTTGTTCCAGATTAATAAATACTTTTGATAGGCCTTCACAATGCAGTCGTTAGCACCCACTAAATAGAGATTATATTTCTATTTTGTTGGTAGATTTTCTTAATGTGCGGTAAACACAAAAGTAACGCATGAAGTTGGTCGCTAAAGCGACCAACTTTTAAAATTTTTTGTTACAGTGATGCGCGCGCAGCTTAAAATTTCACTCTCATAAATTTTTCATAACGCGCCTAAAGAAGTATAACTTCAAAAATATTTTATTTTTTGGATCTTTACAAAATAGATTTGTTTTTATGTTATATAAACAACTTCGATCAGTCTTTGGCTGAATGTCACTACACCCATAGCCATTAAAATGATTCGTATGTTTTCCAAACCGGTAAAATTAAAAGTCTTTTTTAAAGTAAATACATTATACAAAGGTGTCCGTTGAAATCAAATGACTGTAAATTAAATTATAAATTACGCCAAGAATTACCGTGCATGACAATATTTTTTGTGCATTTAGGCCAATTTGAGCAATCTCCTTTATTAAAGTTCAAATTGACTTTTAAGTATTATTACGAATCGTTTGTGTGGGAGTATAGAAAGTGTTGTTTTTGGACATTTTCAGGCATTTTTTTAAATTTTTCTCTGCGTAAGAACGATCCTCGTACTTCAAGGAATATTATAAAAGAAGAATCATCGAAATCGGTTCAGATGTTCTCGAGATTTGCGCTTAGCAACACATTCAGCGATACATTTTTATATTATAGATTATTTCATCAAAATATCTACCTACTCGTGCAACTGTGAATTAAGTAAATGAGCTTTGCTGTTTTCTTTGTACAGGGTGGAGATCTTTCAAAATACAGAAGCAGGGTTCTTGTGCGAGCTGGTATTAAGATTACGGCCAGTGCTGTTCTCACCTGGTGATTTCATTTGTAGAAAAGGTATGTCCACTATAGCCGGGTACTCATTAGCGAGCTGTAACCGTAACCGTTGCATGCACTGTAACCAAAAAACATAGTGTGTACGTGGTTCGCTAACCTGCTGCGAGGGGTACGCGTGCGGTTTGCAGCAGGCCGAAGTTTACAACTGAGCTACAAGCGTACACACTAGAACCTCGTACTGTATCACGCATGTTACGGTTACAGCTCGCTCATGAGTACCCGGCTTATCACATTATTTAAAACTACTTGCGTATATTTTTTCATTACAAATGATTTAAACCTATGAAATTGTTTCGGTTATCAATATGCAATATAATTGTGACTAACTATCAACCGAAATCTATTAAAATCAGTTTAATTTATGTGGTCGATACATTTAAAAATCATTTTTTTTTTCGATGATTGCCTAATATAATTTACTTTGCGCATACTATTATATTCAACGTAAATCAATTTTGATATAACCAAATGGATATGTGACTGCGGTATCTAAACAATTTTTGTTCAAAAATTGAATTAAAACTTTTTAGTTAAAATCAGATCGGACGGAGATACTGATAGTAATTAAATAATACTAAGTTTAGAATATCAAAGAACTCATTTATACAGAATAAACAAATATTTCTCAGGTGAAGTCGGGAAGGAGATGTACATAGTGAACCGAGGGAAACTCCAGGTGGTAGGCGACAACGGCAAGACTGTCCTAGCAACACTCAAGGCGGGTTCTTATTTTGGCGAAATATCCATTCTGAACATGGGCACGGCAGGTAAACAACTTGGTAAATATCGCCTCGGCCCGAGACGCCACGCCATTATTACTCTTTTTTATTATTTTATTGAAAAGTTTTCTAAAGCAAATTCGAGGAGACGCTGCAATCAGGCCGAGGGAGCGGCCACGAAGCTGGCAACAGGTTTTGGGACATCATCCACAGCTGTTACTGTTTGCCTTTGACCATACAATAAAAAAATGTTGTCACTGACCAATTTATCTATGTAAAAGAAAGCACTGGCCATTGACTTTCGGTAACGGCAACACGAAAATTTATTAGAAAGCGCTTAAATTTTATATTAGTTTTAAAAGTTATGTATTTTTCTATATTAGAGCATTGTTTTATTATTTCATTTGACATTTTCTTATATTTTTCTTATACACGACAAAGAAGTGACAATTCTATGCGGTAAGCTGCAAAGTTCATTTAATTTACTTTATCATTTAATTGGCTTATTATTAGTCTTCTTTCAAATTAAGTAGTTACTTGTGTCATGGTGATTTGTTCCATATTTATTTTCTCCTTTGGTTGTATTGAAGGCAGTGTCCCCGATCGCTTTGCATCCTCCCCAAGTACCTAATTATTATATTTGGCGTGACCTCTTGGTGCATGAACCCCGTTATTGTTAAGTGTACTTTACTATTCATCTATTTATATTGAAATCTTTCAACCTTCTGTCAGTTGAAACCCACGATAATGTTTTCATTTACGATAGTAACTATATCGCATACTTGTAGAACTGCTTAGTTCTTTTGAGAAGTCAGAATATTTTGAATTTTTTGGTACCTACCTGCTCTGAACGCTTTGTATGTATGAAGCACTTTTTTGAGAATTCAATAGAATTGCTTCTTATCATTGTTTTTGAGATCAAATTATTATTTTTTGAACTGACATGAATCTCTTATCCAATCCATCCTGCTGTCTGACAAGGTAGTTTTGAAATAAACATTTCTTACATCAGCTTAATCTGTTCCCACTGATATTTGTGAAAAGTTAATCCGTTATTTGTGTTACCCTACCACCGGTGCTGTCGGTCTTCCTCTCCTCTGCTCTTATGAGCTGTTTTGGCTTATTCAACGTAAAAAGAAGACGGCACTAAAAATATTTGACAAAATCTGTCCTTCAGAAGCCGTGGGGTAACATTAGTGTAGGTAAGGTATTATATTAGCCAGAACAGTTCGTAAGAATTTTGGACCGAGCACCGGTTGGCACGGAGTGTGTGTGTGACACGTTGGCAGGAAACCGGCGGACAGCATCAGTGCGGTCCGTCGGCTACTCGGATTTGTTCGTGCTCAGCAAGAAGGACATGTGGGACGTGCTAAAGGAGTATCCAGCTGCAAGAGTACGCCTAGAAGCAATAGCAGTCAAGAGACTTGAAAAGTATAAAAAAGCACCTTTGGAGAAAGGTAATTTTAGTTTTAAAAATGCTATTATGAATGAAATTGGTTTTAACGCAGGAAGAAACCATGGAAGACGATGTAATTAGTTCAATGTACTTGAATCTGATTTAGCTTTAAGTTTTTTTACGTGATCAGCAAACCGCAAAATAATAAGAGTGACTATTTTAGTTTCATTAGCCGGTTAGTTTCATTCAAAAAATAAATCTGCTGCTATCTAGGATGGGGCCATTAAATAAGAATGTCACTTACAGAGTCAAATGCAATATTGCATAGTATTGCAGAATTTAATTTTAATGTAAAGTATCATGACAGAAATATAAAGCGTTGTGTTTTTTACATATTCAAGTAAGAAAATAAAACATTATTCATGGCAAAATTCACTGGCAAACAGTTTATTGGAAATGTAGATTTTATTTCAGGCTTTTTTTTTTGTTTTATGCCAAAATTTAAAAAATACTGCTTATCCGGATCTATGTTTTCTAACTCACTGTAGAGTAAGTAATACTTAAGCTACAATTCAACATTTTTGATAAATAATACTATTCTGATTTTCTTTCGTTTTCGGACAGGGATTAAATGTTGACGACTCAAACGAAGATTAGAAAATTTTTTTACGCAACTTCTTACTTATACTACAGTTAAGATTAAAATAGGGCATATTCAAGTACTTTCCTATCAGCGTACTGTTGTCCGCCGACTATAAGCATGATGACTGAGTTTTACGAAGCATATTATTTTGTGTCATAACATACATGATTTTATCTAGTACATGATGATGTATCTAAGCTAATTTTGCCTTACTACAGAAAGCTTGGCGTTGAGCAAGAGTTTATGTAGAAAAATTCATACAAAATTTGTTTTAACTCACCTTCTTGTAGTACAATCCTTTAAGTTTTAGTTTATTTTTATATATTAGTGCTATGACTAAGCTTTTACGCCTTTAAAACGTGGGACCCTTTAGGTACGCCTGAAAACGTTTTAACATTTGAAGGTCATTCATAATAATTTGTCGTATTCTCAGTGGCAATGGGTCGCTGCCAGTCAACGCCCGGCCTCGTGGAGACCAGTGGGCGTATTCCTATAGAGGATATGCAGCTCCCACCAACATCGACAGTGCCACCTATGCACCCCTCACATCCGCCTTCCTACCGGGACCAGCTTTATAGGTCTGTACAAATTTGTATTGTTTTTTATTTCAAAAGAGTGGCATAGAGACATATGGCTAGCCCGCATGATGTTAAGCGGCCACCATTGCTTATAGATGTTTCCGAGCATTTCATGCATATATACACACCATGTTGGATGGCAAAATGCACTAATACATCAACCCAGCTCCGATTAAAAACTCGCATGTCTCGTGGTTATTCTTTGTGCTACGGCTTCATAGTGCGCAGAGGCGACACACCGAAGGCAAAGTATTGCGCTGCCGTTCTTTAACAAGACCGACCGACTAAATTTAAGACTTGTCTTCATCCAAATTCAATACCGTTGTGAAAGACGCGTTGGGCAAAAAGCGATGATGCACTGATTATGATCCTCAGACATGTGGGATCCACCCCAGAGAGTTTACTCGTATACACCGTTATCAACCATGCAATTTACCCACTGCTGGGGTACAATCCTTCCCTATAAGCAGGTTGTGGCTGCTAATGACTACAGAGGTAACTGGGATCGGCTTAATGTGCATTCCGAAGGACGGAGGAGCTCGAGTCAATAAATTTTGGTCAACCACTGTTTAACCGGAAATTGCGAAAGTTGTTTAAGGTCCACAACCCCGGACCAAACGCGCTTGCACAGTGCCATTGAGATTCTTGTACTCACTTTAGTGACCCATAATTCAAGTAAAAATAACAAATCCCTATAATTGGTCAATGTTACAGCGTCTCATAATTTATAAAATACGCATTACAATGTACATAAGCATTATTGCTGTATTTATCAACGTGGGCAAGTAGACTAATCCATCTCCTGTTTAATTCTATTATTATACCCTATGCAGAGACTTCAGTTCAAGTTACACGAAAAAAAATCGACTTCTTAATTTTAAGACTACTGGGACATAGGCCATTCGTATGCCCATTCCTTATTATTATGATTGTAGAACTTAAATAATAAAGGAATACAAATCATAACCTACCATGCAAGAGAATATGATTCAGACTAAATTGCTTGTAACTAATATTACCTGTTTTTATCCTTCATATACTATAAGCGTCGGCCAGCATTTCTTCAGTGTCACTCCGTAGTTCGTGTAGCCTTCTGCTTGTAGCCACTTTTTGCATTGATTAGCTTAGCACAGGAGTAAATTCGTTCCACCAGTCCTCTACTTTTCAGCTCTAAAATATTGATAAAATTACAAGAAGGATTTGTTCAACTTGTCTCCGCAGTTGGTCGGTAAGCTTTCTTCGGTTAGCATCTCCTGCAGCTTCGTTAGCGTTAAGTCGAGCATATGAAGCAGTGCAGCGGGAGACAGTAGCGTAGTAGCCACGTGACCTCAACTATTTATCTCTAAATTTTTCGATAAAAATGCATGGTCTTCTTCTTCTCTCCTCAGTTCGTCAGTAAGCTCTCTTCCTGTAGCATCTCCTGTAGCGTTGTAAGCATCGAGCGTCATAAGCAATGCAGTGGCGCCACCGGTTGCTGCATTGCTGCAGCGTAGCAACAACCTGATCTCAACTATTTATGTCCGTCAAAAAGTTTGATAAACACACAAGGTCTTCTTCTTCTCTCTGCAGTTCGTCAGTAAGCCCTCTTCGTGTAGCATCTCCTGTAGCGTCGTTAGTATCGAGCGTCATACGCAGTGCAGCGGGTGGCGGCAGCATAGCAACCACATGACCTCAACTATTTATCTCCATCAAAAAGTTTGATAAACACACAAGATCATCTTGTTCTCTCCGCAGTTCGTCAGTAAGCCCTCTTCGTGTAGCATCTCCTGTAGCGTCGTTAGTATCGAGCGTCATATGCAGTGCAGCGGGTGGCGGCAGCATAGCAACCACATGACCTCAACTATTTATTTCCGTCAAAAAGTTTGATAAAAACACAAGGTCATCTTCTTCTCTCCGCAGTTCGTCAGTAAGCCCTCTTCGTGTAGCATCTCCTGTAGCATCGTTAGCATCAAGCGTCAGAAGCAGTGCAGCGGGCGGCGGCAGCGTGGCAGCAGGCATGGCGCCTCGAGTACTGCTTGACTCGCACGAAGTGCTAGAGTGCGAGATCAAGCGGCTCCGAGAGCGACTGTACACAGTGGAGACGGAGAACGCCGCCATGTCCGCCAAACTGAGCCAGCAACAGTGGGAAGTGGACCAGAGGTTGGTAGCGTTCTTATTTCCAGCAAATGGCAGCCTTATATTTATACATTTCCTTATATTTGTTTGGGTTCTGTTCTTTCTAGATGTTTCATTATTGTGTCCATTTGTACCTCCACTGTTTCGTTTTACACAATAGACATTTATTGATTAATCTTACTAATTAAATTTTCTGCGTAATGACTTCCTTGAATAAACAATAATGAATTAAATTTAATAAAAGGGAGAGAACTTAATTATCAATATTGTAAATAAAAATATACAATTTGGAATCGTATTCATTACCAAAATAATAACACAGAAATAAAAAAAAAATGATATATTTCCATCAGGTTACAAGAGATTGAGATGCAGATTTGCGGCGGCAGTTCGCTCAGCTCTCAGGAGGAAAACGAGCGAAACCGCGAGAGCATTATTTAACAGCGCGCCTCCCCCGCGCCCTTGCGCCCGTTGCCGCCACTCCCAGTGCTGCAATCCTCCATCGTATACTAAACCCATAAACTTTACGTGTAGCAACCCCAAGCTCTCGACATCTTCTTCAAACCTAACCCCTTTACCATGATGTTCGAGTGACAGTGAACCTTTTACGAAGACTCAGTGTTTGTTATGGTGAGTAAACATTATTATTGGTATATTAAAATACGAATTAACTTTATCAAATTTATATATACTTAGTATATACAACTCGCCAATATTGTCGAGTGCCGCGGAGTGAGATTTTGCCGAGACAATATTTATAAACTGTTTAGATACATCGAGAAGTGTCGAATGCGTGTGTCGTTCCGCTATTTCCGATGTTAAATTGGGCGTATGTCCTATAGGGCAAATGTTTCGTTGTAACTTTTTCGTAATTGGTATGTTCAACGACAAAATAACCTGGACAAATTCGAAGTTCATATCTATCCTATACGGTAAACATGTACAAGTTTTGTAGCTGATCATACCATTATTATTCAGTTAAATTTCAACTTACCTTGTTCAGTTATTTAATAAGTAAGGAATTCTACTTATTCGTTGTGAATTATTGTTTCACTGTTTTTGCTCATGGTATCTAATGGCGAAATGTTTCACTCGAGTTGGAAAGTTTGTTGTACAAAGTTTGCCGTATTGTGAAATTACTAACTGGAACTATGTGCCAAACGAGAGGCCAAAGTGTATGTGTTATAGATAAGATTTTGAGTTCACTGTTAAAGAATTGAGAAATTGATATTTTCCTTATCCTAAATGGATATATTTGAGCTTTAATTATAATAAAATCTTGGAAGACTCAATCAAACTTTCTTATTATTGCGTTGAGCTTTTGTTATATGATCTAATCTGTAGTATTTAGTTCAGGCATCATCAATAACTTTGGTATCTTAATCTATGTATAATATATTCGTGAAATATTTAATTCTGAAACAGTTTTGCCCAATATAATAAAGTAAAACTTGACCATAGAAAGTTGTAATTTGTTATATAAAAATGGATTATTATCTATGTAATAAGGAATGTAGCTTAAAACTGATATAGAGTCAGTTTTGATAATTTAAAATCACTACTGCCAAATAAAATTTAAGTAGATAAAACAAAGTGTTTTAATGTAAAGATATTAGTGATGACAAGAACGTTTTGTACCTAATATTCCTTCTATTTATCTAAATTCGTTTGATAAGATGTAGCATCTATGTGGTCTACAGTAACGAATTCAATTGTTGAATCATAATTTTTCTGATATTTTTTCGAATGTTCTAAAATGGTACCAAAAATACGAAAGAATAGTGATTAAATATTTAGGTCGTTATCTGTGAAGTTGGAGTTTTGTAAAAATAACATCTTTTGAAATTATCTATTTCACTGGCGTTTTTTATAACAATTCAAAGAAATCACAAGGTTAAAGGACACCTTTTTTATAATTAATTATTGTAAAATAAGGTTTTTTTGTTGAGAAACGACGTCGAAGTTACTTTTTAACGTTTAATTACGTCATTTGTATCGAATCGACAATTTCATAGATAAAAAACCTAAATAAATCATCTGTAAGAAAATTTGTAAATAGTCATTCTAATATCTATAAAATCGTGTTTGTAAGCTATTTTCATTGATGCGATTATGTTTGAAGTCAAGAGTGGAAGGAGTTGTTGCGAGGAAAACGAAGAACCTTTGTAAGAAGCAATGGATTATTCTGATAAAATTACATTATTAAACATGTTACTTTATGATTTCATATAGCAATATAGTGCTGAAACTGATGGAGTTTTATATTGTTTATACTGTATATAAATTATGTATTGAAAATGTGGCAGAAATATATATTATATAGATTTTTTCCGTTCTGGTCCTCCTCTTGCTCTATAAAAAAATGTAATTTAAAATAATCCCAAACGCCCAATGGTATGAATAGATAGGCGATACGAATTTTAAGTGTAAATAAAATATTTATTTATTGTTATTATATTCCATAAATTTTTCTTCTTACATATTTCTCGATTATAAAAATGATAAGAGAGATGCATTAATTGAATATAAATAAATACTGAACGAAAACTGAAGTGCTTTTTATCATTATAATTGCGTAGTTATTACTATTGAACATAAACATGGTATCGTTGAAAAGACAGTGTTCTATAAAAATGCTATTCGGTTACATGTCTAAAACAAAAACCTTAAAAACACAAGATTATAGATACCAGCGAGTATTAATAGGTAGATTTTGCTTTATAAACTTATAGAGCCAAAATGTATTGTCAAACGCTATTATTACAATAATCAGTCACCGCCAAAACCTTTATACCTACATCATTTTACCCAGCTTCATTGAGATTTAGGGTTCAGTTATAGTGCAAAATTTTTGTTTTGGAGAGCTGTCCGTCGAAGGAAGGAGTTTCATTTAAAATCAAAAGGACAAAATCCGAACCTCTAAAGGACTAAATGACCCACTATTTTTGTATGTCTTTTTGACAGGGCACTATTCATGTATTCAACTATTTTAATTGCATAACAATATTATAATTAACTGTTTTTCACTGCTTATATTACCTCCAATAGATCAATAAATTAAAAACATCTGTTCAAGTCGTTATGTGAAATAGTAAGACACAAATCAAACCTTAAGTACGATCACAAAACAATATTATTCAAATAAATTCATGACTCAATGAATGACATTTATTTTTAATGACAAAGCCATGGAGGTGACATAACCGATTGAACTTAATACAATCGATATTCAAGAGGACAGATATGGAAACTTTATTTCCTTGGATCGCGCGAACGTTCCAGCGAACTCATTAAACTTTTCCAACTTTATAAGCTTGTCGCCCCGAGCGTATCAATTGAAAACTATTTCCAGGTTCGTTTGGCTGCGAAAGACGTATTATTGAAATATTCAAGTTTCATTTGAATCCACAACAAGCGAAGGAGGCAGTGTGAAGTTATACTTTATAGCTGTTGAACAGTCTTTTGCAAAAGTTTTCTTTGTTTTAAGCCAATTTTCATAATAACGCACATAACTAACTTAATTTGGTAAATATATAACTTTCAGGAATTTATACAATTAGACAGTGTTAAATTGTGATATGTGTTTGTGAGATTTATGTTAAATCGTAATGTGGTAGTGTTCTTTACCGTTACGACTTATGCCTGCCGTATTGGCTATTTGTGAACATGACAACAGTCTGTCCTTATTATGATTTATAAGAAATGAAAAGGATTACAAGTTTACATAGAGCAAACACGAATAGCCAAGTAAATTGTCCGCAAAAAGTTCAATACCAAGTTAGCAATCACTGTTAAAAGAATTAAGCATACTCTTCCCTGACCTGAATACGAATGGCATTTTTATAACAATAATAATAATACAATCGACAATTATATCGAAAGAAATGCGATTATTTTTAGTAATTATAATTATTGTAAGTAATTTATTTACCTTCATAATTGGACCTGATCTGATGATGCAGAATTGTATGAGGTCAAGAATTGGTCGGTAGTGTGTTGCAGTAAAAGGCTTGTGCATCTTAAATTGGAAATTCAATTATGTATCGCACATGATTCATTTTATTGTTAATAAAAAGATTAAATAATATAAAGGTTGCGTTTTTTAATTTCTCTTACAGGTTTACGAACAGAACCATGCACCCATCGAACCTTTCAATTAGCCTAGCCCCAAAGTAAGTACTATAAGGCTTGTGTTATGGAATACTAAGGTAACGGTTATATTATATAATATACTGTACATATATAAGTATATTTTTATAGAAATGCATATTAAACATCCATGACTGGAGTACAAATGCTCGTGTTCATCACACAACCCAGGACCTCTCGAATCGGCGACACCATGAAACCTGGCGTACAAACCACTCGGCCACGGAGGTCGCCAAATTATATAAGTATATTTTTTCTAGAAATATATATTATCAGCATCCACTTATGGCTCGATTGTACTTGGTCGCTAGCCCGAATACATGAGCCAATGGAATTCGGATAAACGACAGGTGCAAATGAATAGAAGGCTCTTTTTTTGAATCACCTGACATGGTATCGTCGAATGGGACATAAGTCACCTTCGACTTTCAAGTCGCATGATGCTGATTTTCCGTATCTATATCGCTTATCTACAGTTACCAGTTTAATACAACATTTTTATTTTTATTAACACGGAAAAAAGGACGTTTAAAAAGATAATGAGCAGTCATTGCCGCTGTGAAAAATAAACGTATAATTCTCAATAACTGGTGATTTATTCTTTTGCCTTTTTTGTAAAAAAAGATCAAAATGTCGCAACAAATCATCATCTTATCTGTATTTAAAAAGATTGAGAAAAAATCTTGAATATATCTGACATTTTGAAAATTATTATACCATTCGCCTCCATCTTTCGCCAACGCGGTGGTCGAGACCGCTCGTTGACGTCGAGCGATTCAAAAATACGGAATTAATTATGTCGAATGAAAATTACTAGAAATCGAGCGTTCGACGCAAGACGAGTGATTCAAAAATAGAGCTCAGAATCGAGTACGCCCGTATTCAGGTAGTTTTCGTTTTGATTACCCGACATCGTCTTCCAGCCCGTACCCCAGTGAAAATGTTGTTTCGGGTGCCCGAATTCTCGTGTTCATCTAACTAACATTTGCTCCAACGGGATTCGAACCGACCTCTGAGTAGGCGACACCTTGAAACCAGGCGTACATACCACTCGGCCACGGAGGTCTTTGAAACGCATTCTATGTCGATAACTTAATTCTTCTTTTTTGTCCATAGTATAGTACCATCGAAAATATAAATATTCGAGCAATTTATTGCATATATACCTATAAAATATTTACAATCGTGTTTTTCATCAGGTACAGTCACGTTCTTTAGTTTGGGATCCACCTAAGGTTGAATATCGGACAGCAAAAGGACATCATAAGACCAAATTTTTAGAAAGAATACGTTGCTGTGACAACGTCATATCCCTGTTTATTTTATATCAATAGAGACAACTGCTCAGTTTACACGCCAACCTTACCCTACTGAAATTTCTGATCAATCAACTTGCTATTTAACTTGTCACTGTTCTTTCTGATAGCGTTAATTGGTATCGTTTAGAAAAATTAAACTATATGATAAAAAGTAATACAGTTATCATTATTTTATGAAATTTTGGAGAATGATTTCTGAAAAAAAAGTGAATTGATTATATTTTTTTAAATTGTCAATGAGACTTCCTTGTGCGAAACTGACAGAATATCCATTAAAAGGAATTAAAATTTAATTTAACCTTTAGAAAGGAGGTAAATATTCAGAAATATCAATAAATTCGAAAATATTTTGACGAGGTTTAAATACTTCTTTCATTTCAATGCAAATGTTCAAACCACATTTCAATGAAATGAATCCCAAAATTATAGCATCTGACTGTACTACGCATTTTGTTTCAAACAAATCGTCTTTACTAGAATATAAATTGTTCAGCTGCATCTACCAAACCGGAATGGTTACCTGCAGAAATAATATTCAGTAATTGAGGGAAAGTTGGACTTCGCTTTGGGGCAGGTAAGGCAATATTGGGTTAGTACAAACTTTTGCTATGCGACTTTTGATAGTCGAAACCTTGCTTCAGGGCCCTAAGTTAACCAGTGCTTAGCAGAAGTGATTTCGACACATCACACCGTTGATATAAGGATAATATAAATGTGAAAGTTTGTATGTTTGTGTGTTTTTATATTTGTTACTCAACCACGCAAAAACTACTGAACGCATTTGGTTGAAATACGGTACATTTATATTTTATGACCGGAATTGAGACGTTTTTTTTACGTTACGTTCCTGTAGGATTGTTAAAAAATCTAGTTTACATGGACGAGTTCACAGCGGGAATTCAAAAGCTGATAAATGATCTATCATAATAATATGTGTTTTAAATAATTTATAGTCGGTGCCTTTTGCTGAGCTGATATAAAAACAATACATTTTCGCACCATTACAAAATAACTTAGGTTATTCAACTGAAAAGTCTTTGTTTCCGTGAACTTATTTCTGTTGATTTTTTTTACTTTGTTCGAATTTTTCACGAAAATATAAACTTGTGATCTAAAACCAAGAAACCTTATCTTGCTTACTATGAATTGGAATACGTTTATAATAATACGAAATGAGACGCTAAGAAGTTCTTAAATTTTATTCACAAAATTATTCGTCTTTATGCAAGTGGGAGGCACATAGTCTCATTTATACTGCATGAGTACATAAAGCTTATCTAAGTATCTTAAGTACACTACAGTTAGTAGGTATATCAGTAAAATTTAATTGTCTAGATGCGGTGATATTTAATTTTAATGAACTTTTGAATTAATACATTTTAACTTTATACTTTGGGCGTAACAAACCCGTTAGTGTTTTGTTTTCTGCCCAGAAAACAAAATAACGCGTCATAACGGAATGCACGCATAATAAAAAGAGGTCTAGGGTTCTACCCTCGCTGTCAAAAATAATGACATGCTTCCCGCTCACCACATGGCCGGAAACTTGCGGATCGTAGTCCACCAAAGCGGGTGTAATGTTTCCATAAATTGGCCCTGATGTGTTGGGAAAAATTGAACCGTGAAATTGACGTGAGCCTCCCTGAAAAATAGGTGAAATTTTGCAAAAGATAACAATCTCATTTGTATGTTGCTTCATATTAGCTTTTCAAAAATAAATTCATGCGTGTTGAGGTTGGTAATGGTGGCTAGCTACAACGTTTATCTGCCTCGCTATCAATCTTTGTTAACACAGAACTAATTTTTCCCTTACGGTTTTTATCGAGAAAACAAGAGAAGCAAACATTTATTAACTAAGCAGAACAAACTTAGCTTACCTATTGCATCCCGTTTAAATAGTAAAAGGACCGCTCCCAATTTGCAATGTACAAGGCAATTCCTACCTTAATATTTGAGGCAGTTCTAACGCACAATTTGCTACGGCTATGCCTTGTACATAGCAATACAGGCGTGATACAGGGTTATATATATCTCATCTTGTTCAAGTTGGCTGGTGCCGCAGTCATAAGGAAATATAAAGGGTGTGTTTACCAACCAAAGGGCAAATTACGCAACCTCACCTGTATGCTTGACCACGAGTTGTTGGACTAAATTGATTTCAACCCCCAAAAATTTTACTCAAGGAACCTGAGAAAGGTTCAATACTGTGTTAAATAGGCTGGGACGAAAGCGCGCATTTTATGCTCGGCCAGAAAGTCTTCCATTTTGATAAAAGAATTTGATTTGCCATGGATGGTTTTTAAAAGTTACACCACTTTTGTTGGCGTTGACTCTATGAACGCCAGCTATTCACGAATTATAATAATTTTAATATTTTCTGTGAATAAATTGGTAATGGTAAGTGTTTTTGTTTCCTAATTTTTCCCGTTGAGTCAATAGGTATGTGAAATATAAACTGAATCACTAAGCTATGTTATTATTAAGTTTGACGTTTCGAATTTATGGATCACAATATCTCAAGAGTGTTCAACTTCTTGGTAGCTCTTTAACTGGTTAGTCTTAAAATTTACAAATTAATTATTTCTATGGTAACATGTGATTTCATAACACTAGTTTTTTTTGGAATCGGAGCTGAATTATAAACTCTTAAAAAGGTTTATAAGTTCATACCAAAAGATACACCTAAATTTTGCAGTTACCTACATCATGCTTTCATCGAATGCATTATATTTATTTATTTATATACTAGTATCGGCCGCCCTCGTTTTGCTTCGGTGTAGACCTATAGTGTAGACTATAGTTTTTCTTCTCAGGCTTGTAATGATACAAGTATAAACACAATGACTTTCTTCTTAATTAAAAACCTTCATTTAACAGTTAGATTTTTGCTAAACGCGCTAATCTCAGGAACTGCTGGTCCGATTTGAAAATAAATATGTTGAATAGTGCATTTATCGGGGAAGGCTATAGGCTATATAACATCACGCTACAGCAGTACCTACCCTTAGTACGAGTTTGAGCTCACGAAAACTATCACAGTTTTCGTAATTGTAAATTGTATTTCTATGTCCATTTTGGTGAAAGTAATTTAAGAAGACGCAAATGATTTAATAATAGAATATAAACACTGTTAATTTTTATTAAAACGAAAACAATAAAATCGGTATCTTTAGTACGGTGCGAGCTCACGAAAACTATACTCTAATGTTTGAGATTTAACAGTCTCTATACACGATACTAGGTCAATACTTCTATTGACTAGAGACTTCTCTCTTACACTTTGATATGAAATTTGAACAATGTTGACTGTTTGTGTCATGTACACAAATCAACAATATTATCAGAAAGTAAATAAATATCCAGTGCACACAGTGTCGGACAGAAGCTAAAGAATCTTCCATTTGTGAGTTTTCGTTGCGTGCGCTGGGTAAACGGTTAAAGTTACACAAAAAGCATGTATGGAGGAATTGTTTCCCTTTAAATATTTTATAAAAAATTCGCGATAACATAAGCCCATCTTATAAGTTTGAGTCACTATAACCTTTTTCCTCAAATTACCGCGGGTGAATCCGCAGGGGATATTACTGTAAATACATTTATTCGACAGTAGTTGTGTAGACATT